ACACCTATAAATTACTTAAAATCGAAACTATCCCTTACTAAACCTAAAACCCATTTTTTATTAAACCTGAAACTTATTTTTTATTAAACTTAAAACTTATCTTTTATTAAATTTTATTAAGGCATTAATTACGCAATAAAATAACATTATATGTATATAAAAATTTTTATAATTTATTATTATAAATTTTATTATTATTTATATTTAATTTACGGAAAATTATATTTAATTTATAACTTAAAAAAATGGTTAATATTAATTATAAATTAATATATAAACTTTTATTTAATATATTTTTAATTTTTTTAACTGTTACTTTAAATTTATTAATAATTATATTATTTAAATTTTTAAAAAGTTATAACGTAATTATATAATTTTTAATATTATTATTAACGAAACGTAAAATTATATTTTTATTTTTATAATAAATATATAATTAATATTTTAATATATAAAAATAATAATTAAAAAAAAAAACTTACGAAACGATAAAATAAAATTTAAAAATATTAAATTAAATATTAATGTTAATAATATTTATTTTAAAAGTAATAATATTAACCTTAAAAATGGTAATATTTATTTTAAGGGTAATAATATTAACCTTAAAAATAATAATATTTATTTTAAAAGTAATAATATTTATTTTAAAAACGGTAATATTTATTTTAAAAATAGTAACATTTTTTTTTAAAATTACGATATTTTCTTTTAAAATCGCGATATTGGTTTTTAAAAATATAACGTTAATTTTAAATTTTATTATATTAATTTTAAGCGTAGTAATTAATATTAAACGTATAAATATTACTTTTAATAATGTTAATATTTATTTTTATTTTTTAAAGAATAATTATAATTTATTAATTATAATTAATTATAAGTAAGTTATTATATAATAATAATTTATTTATAACTTAAAATATATATTTTATTATAATTAAAAAATTAAATTAAAATCTTAATTTTATAATATATATAATAAATATAAAATGAAAATTTAAAAAAATAATATTTAAGTTAATAATTTAAATAAATAAAGTTTTAAAAAAAATTATTTAAGAAAATATTTTTATAAAAATAAATAATAAAAATTTTACGCGTTATATTATGTTAATTATATTTAAATATTTGTTTTTATATTTTTAATTTATAAAAAAAAATAACTTAAATTTAATATAATTAATATATTTAAAAAAATATATAAAGTATATATAAATTTAAAATAATTATTATATAAATAATATTTTCATAATAAAAATAATCTTAAAAATTATTACCGAATAAATTTTTAAATATTTAAGTTAAAATTTTTTAATATATATATAATAAAAGAAATTTTATATAAATAAAAGTTATACCGTTTAAAATTAAATTAAATTAAGTTTAAAATTATATATATAATTATAATTATTATATAAATATTTTCGATTTTTATTTTAAACATCGTAAATAACGTCATAAATTAATAATAATATAATAAAATATATTATTATAAATTAAATTAAACTAAACTAAATAAATTACTTCGTATAATATAAAGTTTTTTTTCTTTTTTTTAAAAATAATATAAATTTTATATATTCGTTAAAAATTAAAAAAAATAAATAGTTAAATATTAAAATATTTATAATTAATATTATTCGCGTTATATAATTTTAGTTAATACGCGCGTTATATCGAAAAAGGGCTTAACGTTAATTTAAACGCGTTTTAAATTATATTAAAATTTTATTATATACTTAATTAACTTTAACTATTTGTAACTTAATTAATTTAACATTTTAATTTTTTTAATTTAGTTTAATTGAAAACGTTTAATTTAAATTATATGCCATTTTTTTTTTTAACTTTTAAACTTTTATTTAATTATAATATTTAAAGTTAAAAATTAGTTATTACTTTAATTAATTCGAGTTAATTTTAACTTAATTTAATTTTAATTATAAAACTTTAATTTAATCTTTTATTAATTTTAATGTAATTAAACTTATTTAAAAACGTGTTATAAAAATAATTAAACTATTTTAATTATTAAATTTTTAAAAATGTTTTAAATACGAAATAATTAATTAAAAATTTAACATTACGAAAAAATATAAATTTTAAAATTAAGTTTAAAAGCTTAAATTACGGTATTTAATCTTTTATTTAATATATATGGGATAATATATATACGTTTTATTAGTATTTTTTCGGTTTTATATAACATAAATAATATTTATATACTTAATTATTTAAGCTTAATTTTAAAAGCGTAAAAGTTTATCGATAAATATTTTAACTAATTAAAAAACACATATTCGAATTTAAATTATATTATTAAAATAATAAAGCTTTTATAAAAGCTTAGTTTTAATTAATTAAAAAAATATTATAACTTTACATTATTAAATACGGTTATAAAAGCCGTATATTTATTAAATATTTATTTATTTTATTACTTTTTTTACTATATTTTTATTTATAAAAATTATTTTATATTTAATCGAAAGAAAAATTAATAACTAAATATTTATAAAATTAAAACTTAACTTATAAAATTCTCGTTAAGTTTATAAAAATTCTATTAACTTTTAATTTTAAGGATAAAATAAATAAAAAGTTTTATTTATATATATATCGTATTTTTTATAATAAAAATAATTAAAAACTTTTTACGTAATAACGTTATTATTTTTAAGTTTTTTAATTTCATTTTATAACTTAAATAATATAAAATAAAATAAATAATAATGTAATAAAAATTAATATAAAAGTTTAAAATAATATTTTAAAATTAATATAATAATTTTTTAAGGTTTTAAAATTTATAATTTCTTTTTTTTTTTTTCGAAAAAAAAACTACGTTTTTATTTAATAATAATTTATTTAATAAACGTTAAAATTACATTAAATCCTAAACGTTTAATAATTTTATATTAGTTTTAATGTATAACTTTTTTATATATTAATATATTTTTTTAATTAATTATATTTTTAATAATATAATATATAATTATTTAATAATATTTATTTTAATATTAATAATATTTAACACTAATCCCCGTATAATAAATAATATATATACCTTTAATATAATTAACTTTTTAATATTTATATTAAGTCCGGTTTATTTATTAAATAAACGTATATATATAATTTTAATATATAACGGTAAATAATTATTATTTAAAAAAATAAGTTATAATATTTATTTATAATAATTTACTTATTAAATAATTATATATTTAAAAATTATTTATTTTATTAATAAATATTTAAAGTTAAAAAAACGTAAACTTAAATTATTATTTAAAAGTAAAATCTTAAATATAAAAAAAGTTTATTAAATATTAATTTTTTTTTAAATTAATAATTAAAAGTTTATAAAATTAAAATTAAGCTCGTAAAATCCCCGTAAAAATCTTATTTACGATTAATCTTAAAAATAAAATAAATAAAAAACTTCACTTATATATATACCGTATTTTTTATAAAGAAAATAATTAAAAACTTTTTACGTAATAACGTTATTATTTTTTAATTTTTTAATTTCGTTTCGTAATAAAGTTAATTATTATGATTTTTATTATCGTTATTATTATTATTATAAAAAAGTTATAAAAATATAAAAAATAATATTTTTAATAAACCTAAAAAACGATATTATATATTAATAATAATATTTTAAAGTAATTAAATTTATATTTAACATAGTTTTTATTAAATAAATACGTGCTTAATTTTATTAATAATACCGTTTTTTTTACGCTTCTTTTTTTTCCGTTTTTTAATAAAAAAAATATAATATAAACTATTATAACGTACGTTTAAAAATATAAATTATTAAATAAATTATAAAGATTTTATATTTAAATATAAAATATAAAACTTAGTTTAACACGTTTAATATACCTTTAATAAGATTTTAAAATAATTATATAAGTAATGGTTTTTTAACGTTAATATTAATTATTATTATTATTATTATTTCGTTTAATAAAAAGAAAAAATTAAACTAAATACGTTAAATTAATAAATAACCCTTTTTAAGGATTAAATATTAATCGTAAAAAAAATAATATTAAGAATTTAAATAATAAATAAAAATATAAATAATAATTAATAAAAATCGTTTAATTTTTACTTAAATATTATTATACTTATAAACTTTTTTAAATATTATTATACTTTATATTTAAATAAAACTTATTATTAAAATGAAATATATTTACCTTAAAATAAGTTAAAAATTTAATATAATAAATATCGATTTTTTTTAATTACTTTTTACGAATTAAATATTTAAAATAAAAAGTTTTATAACTTTAATACTTAATAATATTTATTTAAAAAAAGAAAAAAAATTCGAATATAAATAACTAAATAACTTACTTTTTTTTTAAAAGTTTATAATTTTTTTCCTAACGAAATAATTAACTTTATTAACGTTAATTCGCGTTAAGCTTTAAATAATTACTTAAATATAATATTAAAATAAAAAAATTAACTAAATAAATAAATTATAAAATTTAAATATTAACATAAAACTAAAAAATAAAATAAAAAATAAATAACATATAATATATACTTAATAAAAAATAAAAATAAATTATATTCTTCCTTAAATTTAATAAATATTTACTTATATAACTTTCACTTTATTTTTTTCCTTATTAATAAATTATAAAATTTAACAATAAAAATTAACGTCGTTTTCTCGTTTTAACTTATTAAATTAAAAACTTTATAAAATAAAAAATATTCTTATTTATAATAAGTATATATTTACCTAAGTATTAAAAATATTATCATTAAACATTAGCAACGTTTTGTAAACTATAAAGCACAGTATAAGTTCCATATATACTGCTTATTCATACTGTGTACATTTTAATACATTAATTGAATTGGCGGGTTGGCGGATACGGGCTTATGGTCCACCCTACCAGGTCGTGTCATACCGCGATCTACTTAGCTCGACTTAGCTATTTAGGTACATACTGTGCCTATAATATTAACACATAGTCACATACAAATACAACTTAATCACTTATAAATGTAGCCAATTCACACATCATCGCGACAGAAAACTCGAAAGACTAGAGGAGAAGCCATGCCGCGTTTAATTTGTAAGTTGTATTTCTGATTACCTCTATGAAGAATTTGCATTGAATTGTAATATTTGGAATATTTGGAATATTTAGACTATTTAGAATATTGGCTAATAAGAATTCCAATACAGCTGCGGCGTTGGTCCTCCGCCGCGACCCACGACTTCTCAAGCTCCCACCATATATCTCGCTCTTATGCATCATCGTCGGTGTCGTATGGCTCCTAGTCCTTCCCCTCGACCAGTACTCGCGCCGAACCTACATCAGCGAGAACGCCCTGCTACCAGGTCAGGTTCATACCTATTTCGGCGGAAGCGACCAGAACGTGTTCCGCGCCTATAGACACGAAGTAGATGCGCTATACACGGCAAACAAAACTAACATCGAGGTCAATGACGAGCTTGAGCAGATTTTCAAGGGTGTCGGACTTAAAGTCGGCAGGCAAAATTACACATACAGCTCCGGAGGGAATACGTACGGCGGCGAGAACGTCTATGCGATCCTCCAAGCACCGAGAGGCGACGCGACAGAGGCAATTGTCCTAGTCGCCGCCTGGAAGAATGTGAAGGAGGAGTTCAATCGCAATGGTCTGGCACTGGCGCTTGCTCTGACCAGGTACTTTAGACGCTGGTCGTTATGGTCTAAGGACATCATTCTTGTTGTGCCGCCCGACAGTAGAGCCGGACCCCAGGCCTGGGTCGATGCATACCACGATGCCCATGACCCGACAAGTGTCGCTTCGCTGCCTATCAAGTCCGGCGCTCTGCAGGGCGCCATCGCGCTCGATTATGCGCAAGAAAGTCGCTTTGAGTCGGTGCATATCGTGTATGATGGTGTCAACGGGCAGTTGCCGAACCTGGATCTAATCAACTCGGTCGTTAATATTGCGAGTGGTCAGATGGGCATGGAGTCCTCGTTGCAGGGCATGTGGAAACACAATCAGAAGTACGATGATAACCTAAAGACAGTACTAAGAGGGATGTTGCGGCAGGCGCTGGGACATGCATCTGGCCCCCATAGCTCGTTCATCCCGTACCATGTCGACGCTATAACGCTACATCCGGTAGGGAACGGGTGGCATGATGAGATGGGGTTAGGACGGCTAGTCGAGGGCATGTTTCGGAGTCTGAATAATCTGTTGGAGAAGCTACACCAGAGCTTCTTCTTCTATTTGCTCATTCATAAGCACCGGTTTGTGAGCATCGGCACGTATCTCCCCAGTGCAATGCTGATCGCGGCCAATTTTACTATTATGGCTATTGCGTTGTGGGTTAGGAGCGGATATGTTGAGAAGACTGAGAAGAAAAAAGAAATCAACGAGAAATCCGAGACGGATGGGAAGACAAAGGGCGGCGAGGTGGTGAAGGGGAAGGAGGCAGCACCAGTCTCGAAGACAGCCGAACGAGAAACTGTCGAACGAGAGACTCTACTTCCGCTTACTCTTGTTGCGGGCTGCCAGTTCATAGGAGTCATTCCGCTCTTCGTTTTCAACCAGACACCATCCAGCGTAAGTCCATACCGTTCTCCCCCTTTTCTTCTACTCTACCCCTTCTCATTCCTTCATCAACTTTCCACAGCCTCTCGCTAACAGTAACTACAGCTCCTCACTCCAATCTTTGTCTTATTCGCCTTATTCAACGTTGCTCTCCCCCACCTCGCCTCCTACTTCATCACAAATAGCACCAGCAAGCCACCCACGACGCAGCAGTACCAGCTCATCAAATCCTTCTCCCTCCTCCTCCTAGGCATGTTCCTCTCTTCCCTCGCCACCCTCAACTTTTCCTTGGCCTTCTTGATCGGGCTACTATCTTCCCCGTTATCGTTCACCCGCCCTTGGCCCGGCAGCCCCGTGGCTCGGTACGCACAGGTTTTACTTTTACATGTGCTAAGCCCGCCTGCGGTGTTACTGGTCGGGAGTGCAGTCGCAGGTGTGGGTGTGAGCAATGTACTAGAGGAGGCCGCGTTCGGATGGCATGTTTGGGGCCTGTATACCCCGCTCGTCATCTGGTGCGTCTGGTGGCCCGCGTGGATTGTCGGGTGCCTTGTTGTGCTGGGACAACCGGGAGAGGGAATAGGAGGAAAGGAAAAAAAGGCATAGGCATAGCTTGATTTGATTTTATGGGGAGTATGATGGAGGTCATTAGCATAGTTACATATAGCGTATAGGTTATGTCACGTCTACCAGAGTTGGTAGAGAGCGTCGAGGTTAGGCAGACAAGGACTAGAAGCGAAGGCAAAGGCAAAGGGGGTATTGTCCTAACAATCAAGAGTTAAAACTTTTGGTGCTAGAAATTTTTAGAAGGCCAGTCGTGGCGAAGAATTAAGATACCATTACCTTTTTTGAAGTTTTCATTTTCATCACAAAATTGAAGTTGACGCCTCTGTCAGCGTCTCAAGGAATTCAATTGCATTACAGCAAGACGTTCAGTCATCTTACTCGGACCGTATGTCGTCTATTAGTATCTATCATACAAGGCTCAGACCGCATGCAGAGACGTTACTACCTGAGTAGTTCAGAAAAGGGGATATCGCTTTCCCACCGCATCTCCCTTTCCTGAGTCATTGCCTATTACATAGCATTTGAATTCATCCGCTCTTGCCCAAGAACCAGCACGCAAGATCAAGGAGCCCAGATATCCTGTCCGGTAGCCTCAATCCAGTTGCCCAGCTTGTTCACGTTCTCGCCCCACTCACCCAGACGTTGGTTCATGCTGGCGATCTGGCTCATGTCGAGAATGCGCGGCTGCACCCAGGTGAAGTTGACGAGCTCGTCGACTTCGTCGATGGTGCCACGCACGAGACCCAGGCTCAGGGCCTTCATAACCAGGTGCTCGATCTCGTCCTTGCGCACCTTGGTATCGGCCGATATGGTGCCGAAGCTCATGGCGCGTTGATGCGGCGGCCGTCGGAACACGCTCTCGGTCAAGGCTGCGAGGTAGATCTTCTGGCGGATATCCTCGACGTGCTCTTTCAGAAGCGGATTGCTTGAGATATGACCCGACAGCACATCGTAAGCCGCTAGGTCTCCCCGGTTGAAGGCTAGCAGCAGCTCTTGCAGCCAGGCAACTTCGCCGGTTAAGGCGGCCAAAATTGGATGCTGTAGTAGCTCGCCGAAATTGTAGATGGAGTCGGAAACAAGGGCGGCGATACCCAAGTCGTAGGCACGGGCCTTGCGTTCTTCGGGGGATAGCGACGATAGGTCTATGCAGGCAAGGTAGAGGAGGGCGTTGCGGTAGTACGAGGCGAAGTCGGCCTTGGCTTGATAGTAGTTGGCGTTGACATGATAGAAGGCAGCGTGGACCTTGGTCTCAACGCTGTCGAAAGAGTCAAGAATGCGCTCGGCCTTTTCGAGGTTTTTCTGGGAGGCCTCGAGATCCCGTAGATCCAACTCGACACGGGCGACAGCGGCGGTGGCATACACGAAGGCGTCTTGGGAGTTTTCGTTGTCGACCTTCTTAGCGAGGGAAGTGAGGAAAGTCAGACGTTCTTGGTCATCTATTCAGATATTAGTAGAGTATATATGGTTAGATATTTAGATAGTCATAGATATTTAGAAAGTCATATATTATGGATATTTACCTCTACATTGAGTAGCAGCTTTCAGACCCAAGTCGACGAGCTTGAGTTGGTTGATCCTGTCCGCGAACTTTGATATGAATACCTTGTAGAACTTTAGTCGTTGAGGTTCGCTCTTGGGGTTGGCGAAGAACTCGATCAGGGCATCTGTAAGTTGGTGCCATAACTTGCGCTCCCAGTAATTTTCGAACTGAATGATGAGATATTGGAGCTCGTCCGGGGTCTCGTCCCGCTGATCAGCGAGGAAGTCGGCGATAGTGTCGACGTTCATGGTATGATGCTATTCTCGAATATCCCTTTTTTTTTGGTTTGGTGTAGTCGTAATAAGAGGAGTCCAGTCTAGAGGTGTCGACAGGGATTAATTCGGAATTGGTGTTGTGGTAGTTTCGTTTGTTCAAGATGCAGTTGTTAAAAGTGGAAGATGGAAGCTTCTAAGCTTCTCAAGCTTCAATCAATACGCGGCTGGTGTGTAGCCTGTCCTTGGTACCTTCCTCACCTAATTGATCAGGTACCTTCGTACCTAGGACATCCTAGGTAGTTATTAGCCCATTTCAAGGTTTCGTTTCCCTCGCTTACCTAATTATAATGACATAATCATAATGTGGCTTGACTTTCCATGTTCTCAATTATCAACCAATCTTGCCAGGCGCATTAGCTTTGACCAATACTTTCCTGTGGCTTGACTCGTTACGACATTTCAAGGTTACTAGGTAGAGCTTCAATCCCACCACCAAGATACAATCACGAACTCACTCCGTTGCAATTGGAAAGGTCTCGTCATTCTTCGCAACTCGGACTCGAGCAAGGATGGCTTCCTTTCCTACCGCCGTGCGGTCTAGTCGAAAGCTGGCCTTCAACTTGACCCAAGCCAGACACATTTCCCACATTTCCGACCTTACCATAACCCGTACCGGCAAGCCCATCATTCGCGTTCAAGGTGGACGGTTAGTTGTCGCTGTTACTCTTCTACCACTTGAATAAACGCTAATGTGATCTTTCCTAACAGATCATCTCTCGGAGGTAATCTTCTCTTACTACTACACGCCATTCCTCGCTCTTCCGATTCTAACGAATTACGTAGGCCACACTGCGACGGTATTTGGCGCAACGGGACAGCTCGGGAGATATATCGTCAACCGATTAGGTACGAGGCGTGCATGGAGTCCGGCATAGTTGTACATACCTAACAACAAGTCACAGCACGTCAAGGATGTCAAGTTGTCATCCCCTTCCGAGAGGAGATGGAGAAGCGTCATCTCAAGGTTGCCGGTGATCTAGGTCGTATCACCTTCGTCGAATACGATCTGCGCAACACAGAGTCTATCGAGACGAGCGTTCGTCACTCTGACGCTGTGTACAATCTCATCGGACGAGAATACCCTACCAAAAACTTCACGCTGGACGATGTCCATGTCGAGGGTACCGAGCGCATCGTCGAAGCTGTCGCCAAGTACGATGTCGACCGTTACATCCATGTTTCGTCCTACAACGCCAACCCCGACTCTCCTTCCGAATTCTACGCTTCCAAGGGTCGAGGAGAGCAGGTCGCCCGAAGTATTTTCCCTGAAACCACCATCGTACGGCCGTCACCCTTATTCGGTTACGAGGACAGACTTCTTCTCCGACTAGGTGGCATTACCAACATATTTACATCTAATCACATGAAAGAAAGATACTGGCCCGTCCACGTATGTCTTCCCCCACGGTGGATATTGTGGTATTTGATATGATCAACTAACATGGACAGGTCATCGATGTCGGCAAAGCCCTAGAAGTGATGCTCTACGATGATACCACGGCCGGGCAGACGTTCGAGCTATATGGCCCTAAGAATTACTCGACAAAAGAGATCTCTGAGTTGGTTGACAAGGAAATCCACAAGAAGCGAAGACACATCAATATCCCTAAGGCGATCATAAGACCGATAGCTCACTTGATGAACCGGTTCATCTGGTTCCCGGTACTCTCGGCCGAGGATGTAGACCGGGAATTCATCGACCAGGAGATTGACGAGACGGCGAAGACATTCGCCGATCTAGGTATAACACCGGGCGAGATCTCCGACTTCACATATGAATACCTAGTAAGTGTACCTTTCTTTGAATGTATGATCTATATGAATATGCAATTCTGACAAATTACAACAGCGTGGATTGCGTGGCAACACACACTACGATCTCCCTCCATCGACGGAGAAGGAGAAGGAGGAAAACAAGAAATACCTTCATGTGATGGACGAACCACAGATATAATTTCACTGCAACAATAACGTCGACGCGATTCTTAGAAAAGGCAAGCCTTATTGCAACTGTACATATATATATACCAGACTTGGTAGCTTTCTGCTAATTTAAGAATCGCAAGGAGTATTACAAGAGCTTTACTTTATATATTGCAAAATGATCTATTGCCATGTTGTAGCGTGGGTGATTTATAATACTGAGCTATGTTTTCCGTGTTGTATATTTTACGTACTTTATGTTTTATGTTTTCATGTTCTACTAGTTAATCGGTAAAGATTTTCGTGCTCCAAGAAAAAAAACCGGAAAACTTATTCTTACAATGTCATAGGACAGAGCCCCAACATCAAGTAAAAAATAAGAATAATAAGAAGAATAAGACAAAAACTTCAACTCAGGTCATACCATCAACCCGAAAATTATTATTTTATAACCGAGAATCAATCGAATATACCTACTAGGAAAGTAGGTCTTCTCAAAAAATGGCTGATAGCGACGACGAACCAATGTAAGTGAGCAACTATTTTACCCAACACAAGTATCCATAGATGCCATGCTAACTTTTCAACAGAGCTCTCTCTTCCCATGCACTTTCTGCGCTGCAGGAATTCTACGGCGAGCGCGATGCGCATGCTGAAAAATTCGAGAAGCTGAAGACAGCAGCCGAAGACGAGCATGTCGACGCCCAACCCTTATCCATGGATCTCTTCACCGAGGATTGGAATAAGTCCCAATTTTGGGTATGCATTCTAGCATTTAATTTAAGACTTGTGTCTGATTTGACTACGTCAGTATTCGGACGAGACGGCTATACTTTATGCGAGACAGCTATTAGACGGCGTAACTGAAAACGATGTTATCGCCGTGGTGTCGACGCCGAGTGTTTTCATTGCCTTAAAGAATCTATTGGTAAGTGATTGTTGATTGCTATAACTGAGAATTAGTTCTGTACCTAGGTAGTCAACTTTCCAAACCCGAGTCCGACCTACCATTTCACCCTCTTGAAGATGGAGTGACGAACCTCACACTCCTCCCAACTTATCTTTGCCATGGTTGGATAGCATCTTAGTAACTCTGCATTCCTTCTCTAAATCTACAGCCTACGCAAGAATAATAATTGCACAATGTTCCCTACTAATGCTTATCCTCCCTCCTTCACAGAACACAGCAGATGCAACTCATCCCAAGCCGAAGCAAGTCTACCTCCTCGAGCACGACCAACGCTTTGCTGTCTTCCCCGAATTTATCTTCTACGATTTCCAGCAGCCCGTTAAGCTCCCGGCTCATCTGAAAGGTGCCGTTGACCGTATCATATGCGACCCCCCTTTCCTCAGCGAAGACTGTCAGACAAAAAGTGCGTATATCTCACCCAGCCCTACTTTGCTGTGTTCTACCTACTGCTATACACATCCATACCTTATTGGCAACTCGCACGGCATGTATAAAGTTATTTAAGTGGCTAACTCTGCATGCAGTTGCTTTGACGTTGCGCTGGATGTCTCGATCATCCTTAGGGACAAGCGCCCAAGGTCACTCTCACCCTCGGATATTAATCAGCACGGGAGAGCGCATGGAGCCTCTCATCATGAAGCTATACCGGTCTTTAGGGGCACGCACCACGACGTACGAGCCAATTCATGCTCACGGGCTAAGCAACGAATTCTATTGCTACGCTAACTTCGAGTGTGACGCATGGAAGTTTATAGGCGAGAAAGAAAAGGCCGACAAGGGCCAGGAAACTATATAGACACGGCTAATTCGAGAGTTCGCCTAAGGAGGGCGAACTGAAAGTACTTATACCCATCGTCTAACACATTCATAGATGCATAGCTCAATCATTATTTAGCTACTTCTTGCTCATCCTCTGATATTCTAACCCTACGAATCTTCGCGCTTATGACCGATCCTACTTTGCCTTATCCTTTGACAGATCATCACCAAGTCCAATGTAATTAAAAAGCGCAGTCGCATAAATAGAGCCTGTGATGTAATGATACTTCCAGGTAGATGAAACCGAACTCAGTGGAGGATGAAATGGCAACCCGGCTTAAGACAACGACGACTTAGAGTCACATCATATAGGGCACCTTAGTAGTCATAAATGAGGATAGTTCCGTTTGTGAAAACGCCTCTCTATTCAAAGGCAAACGTCAATACGCCATACTGGAGTCATCACCCCCCAAACCATGCAAATGCTTCAGAACAACTCCGTCCGATCCCGATGCCGAATAATACAAACCACACCCCTATGTCAATGATCGGATGATGTAGAATAGTAGGTATGCCTGGCTTCCTAATACGTCGGACTTCTTAGCCAACTCGACCCTGTGGTCGTTGAATGAAAACCACTAGAGCAACATTAGCACCTATGGGAGAGTTCGTGATGGATACTGAGTATATATAACTCACCTGGTCTCCAACTCGGGAATAAGTCACATAGTGCCCTGTCCTGGTCAGTTACAGTCGGAGAGATAAATGTACAAGTTCACACAACTCACCGGTGTCGATCTCTCCAACGTGTTCCACGACACTCAACAGGTCGTATGTGCACGAACGTCTCAGCTCCTGACTGTCTCTAGCATCTGAAGCTCTACCACGGGTAGTGTACGGAAGCATGTTAAGCTGCAATGGAAACTGGACCTTAGTACTAATCTTAGATGCAACTCGGTCACGGCTGCCTTGCTTGAACTCGAATCGCTACACGTCTCCGTCAGCACTTATCCTCCGGGAGATTAGGATGACAGAAGCTGTACTCACTTTGAGCTGTATGGAGAGGACGTTCGGTAGAAGCTTGATGCTGTGGTCTCGTCGAGCCTGCTGCGATGAATTGCAGTTCCTACAACGATACTCACACTTATCAGACTTGATGTACTCCTCGTCTAGACAATCTTGCAATGTCAGGGATGGGCCACCCTTAGGGGCCTTCTTGACTCTCTTGTGGGATAAATTGTCTAGGCCCAAGCTTAGATCAAGAAACGACTCTATGGCGTTAGTAACGCCCCCGCAATGTTGACAAGTTGTCTGGCTCTGGAGCTTTCCGTAGAAAGTCTGGTGTATGATGCAGTTGCAGCTATGCTCACTTCCCGTCTCGGGCTTCTTGCCATCTCCGTTCCTCTCATGTAGCTCCTCGGCTAGGAACTGGAAGAACTCATGAGCATCCTGCTCCCTAGTTGTCACCAGGTTCTCGAAAGCCTTCTTTTCGGATATCCAAAACCCGGAGAGGATATTAGCCGCCGTATAGCCATTGGTGTTCTCGAGGGCATAGAAATCTTGAAACATATCGTCCATCGCACAGCTCAAACAGTGAGCCACCTGACAATCGCTACTCTGGTGTCCATCACTCAGGTAGAAGTTTCTGAGTAAAGGATTGTGAAGGAAACTCTGAAGGACCACGTTCTGGTAGCATGTCGCGCCAGCATTGTAAATTCCCCGAAGCCCGTCTGCTCTACAGGAGGCGATGGTGGTGTTGGTCGAGATATACCTAGGATCATCCTTAAGTGGGTCCTTCACGGCATCCGAGAACATTTCCTCGTGCTTCCTTTTGCGACCTAGGTACATTAGTCCAACTTAGCAAAATAATCGATACTTGATGGTAAAACGTACTCGAGAAAGATCCGGTTCCTATCTTTCTCACTCGAAGTTCCTCTAGAGTCGGGTCCCATACGAAGTCCTCGCAGAACTGGCAGAAAAGAGCACCACTTCTCGAATCAACGTCTATGAATGGTCAGCAGAAGGGACGGGGGAAGGGCATGAAGCTTTGTCGAAGCTTACAAAATCTGTGGCTCTTCTTATGGCCATGCTTTACGCGCTCTTCCTCCGAAGCGATGGTCGAGCATTGCAAACAGAGGTAGTTGGATGTTAAAGAGGTAACTATCTGTCCGTCTGGTCCCTTACACGTCTGTGGTACTAAGGGATTTCCATCAAATATGACTCTCAACAGCATCTTGTAATACTGCACAGTGCTATTCATCACATCCGTGCTGTTAGAAAGGAGTAGTTGAACATGCTCTGGGAGGTATTAGCATATATGTACTAGAGCAAGCAGTCCAACGATAGGATTGCGGTACTGACCACAGCCAAACAAGGGTGTTCCAGGAGTCGGAGAATTGATCTTAGCATTCTTAGGCGACGCCGGAGTGGTAGGTCGTGCAGCCATGGTTGCAACCAGGATTTTGGTAGATTTATCGAGGCTTTATCGTATAGCTTATTCTCTAAAATGAAGAGATATGCACGCCAATTGCTATGGATACGGTAGTGGAGGAGAGATTCAAGGCAGGAGTGTTGGTAGATTCGGGTGGTATGCGGTAAATGGTAAATGGACGATAGACAATGGCCAATAGTCAGCGGTACGGGAAAAGAGGACGAAGGTGTTGACTAAATAACCACGAGCGTCTTTCGTAGTTTGGGAAGGTCGAGATTGAAGAAGTAAGAGTTAAATTGGAGGGATAAAGGGACGGAGAGAAAGAGGGACAAATGAGGCTCTGGCTGGCATAGACGAGGCGAAACTGCGATGAAGCGTCTAAAGATGCGATTCGGGGATTTCACGATTTGGCGATTCGACGATTCGACCGCTAACTTGGGAACCTTTCTTCTGTTGCCTTTATACAGCTTCGAAAGCTATTGGTTAGCCGCATACTAATGACGTGCATATTGATTAGGAGTGGCTTACAAGTCCAGTTTGTGAAGTTATTAAATATTGGACTCAAGGTTCCAATATTAGAAAGAATAAAACTCCACGATAGATCTACAGAATCATTGTCATTGTAGTAGGTAGGTGCGCAAGGAAAGATTACGAAATTACAGGTGAAGCAACACGCTGGAAATTCTTATCGGCACCTGATCCGCGATCTTATCTTGCTTATCGAGCACGCTCACCCAGCGATCCAGGGGTTAACTTTAAAATATCGTCAGCGACCAGTAATTTAGGAGGAAGCTACTGCTGTAGTTAGTTACTACATGCGTGCTAACCGTGCTAACACATTGGCAGCTGCGGTATGATATACTTAGTACGTTCATCGCAGCGTTCATTCCCACAATCATGTGGATGTTAATATCATTAATAGAACATTTAACGTCGAACCTCGGCATTTTATCTATCGCTACGCTATTTTCTACATGCATCTTACAGATTCAAATGGGTGCACATATATTTACTTACCTATTAGGTCATTACCCAGCGTTCGCATACAAATTGATGGCATAATTTTACCTTGTCCTATCCTCATTGCTGGCATCCAATCGCAATTCGACTTCATTATCAGATACCAAAGATACCAAGCTAAAGTTGCTGGTATGTTGCACTAAACATACAGTACCTACCTTATTACAAACACCATTTCAATCTTGTACCGAACATTAGAATAGTGGTGTTTCGGTATAGACTTACCTTCTCTCTTCCTCTTCCTCTTGCCTGCTATCCTGTCTGCTGGGCGTCGTCTCTTGACTTCTTCCAACATACCTGGTAGGTATTTACTCATATTATTGCCATGGTATGAAAACTTTCCGGATAGCTTCAAGAATCAGGATGGCTTCTCCCATGATTCACCTGCCGGAGGTGGAGCGGCTTAGTCCCGCTTGTATTCGTATTCTCGGCGGCAATCCAAGCAAGTTCACACTTCAGGGTACCAACACGTACCTACTTGGGACCGGTCCTGATAGGTTATTGATTGATACTGGCGAGGGCAAACCTTCGTGGATTGCTGCCTTACAACGAACTTTAAAAGAAGAGAAAGCCACTGTACAGTATGCTCTTATCACACACTGGCATCACGATCACGTCGGCGGCATCAGCCAACTCCTAGAGCATTCACCTCAAACGGTGATCTACAAGAACTCGCCGGCAGAAGGTCAATTGAATATCTCAGAAGGGCAGAAATTTGAGGTTGAGGGGGTCACCTTAACGGCCATTCATACACCAGGCCATACCACAGACCACATAGCATTCGTTCTGCGAGAGGAAGACGCCCTGTTTACAGGTGATAATGTCTTAGGCCAGGGCACAGCCGTATTCGAGGACCTTAGTACTTATCTTAAAAGCCTTGCGAAGATGGAAAAGTTGGTGTCAGGCCGAGGATATCCAGGCCATGGCCCTGTGTTACTGCAAGCGAGCGCCACTATCTCCGAGTATATCTCCCACAGACATCAAAGAGAACAGCAAGTACTGCAAACATTAGCTTCAACTCGAGACGACGATACATGGACTCCCATGGAACTGGTGAAAATAATATATCGCGACGTTTCCGAAAGTCTTCACATACCAGCCGCACATGGGGTAATCCAGATCCTACGGAAGCTCCGGGACGAAGATAGAGTCATACTAGAGGATGGGGACTCATGGCGTCTTAAAGATCGGTCAAATTTATAATGATGCGTATGACGCTTTACGGACAATTTACCGTAGAACGGTGAGATGGTTGACTCAGCGGCGGCTGCTATTTCGGGGGTTCAGTTTAAAGATATTTCTGTAATATTATCTACCTACAGTCATCGGTTTTGTGCTTTTGTAAACTTACCACTACTTAGTACTAGTACTAGGTGGGTAGAATTGCCAACGGTCACTGCCTATGTACAAAGCCATGGTAGTACGTAAACGATCCTCGACGCTTCCGCCCTACCTCAGCCCGGTTTTCTGCATCTATGTAGTTTAGATTATCATCTAGCACCCTTTGGGACTCAGATCTGGTCTTGAGACCAATCTGGGGTAGTACCAACATATCGGGAGGCGCTGCCCCCAAGATCCTACATACCTAGGTACCTCTTTCATCGGGTGTCACGGAGAATAAACGCCGCGAGGCGCATTTCAACGGTCTAGGTAGGTAGACTTGTAAGACGCGGATATGCAGGGAGACCTTTATTAAACTACATTGCAACTCTCATGACTCAATCAGATGGTGTTGGTGCTTTCGGATGTTCGGAACTAAGGACACATGGATGTATGACTTTTTAAATGTACGCATACCTAACTGCTAGGTGCCTACCGGTAGGTAAGCGGCGCAACCTACCTAAGCTGCTAGGTATGTATATGTTGTCGGCGACATTACTTGGGGTTGGCAGTACCTAGCTGCCCGGTAATTTGAAATAATTTAATCATATGACTACGGCCGTGGTCCTATAGCCCTATAGCTGGCGATACATCAATCATCTTAGATTTATGGAGAATATGGGTGAAATGGAAGTAATACGGGATAGTGACCGGTGTATCTCAGCCCATGCAGGCTACGCCGTAATGCCTAGCCTTACGATGCAATGCGTGTCTCCTCTTCTCGGACTCCGACTCTCGCCGGCGTCGTCACAACCTCCTTCCCCGACGCCGCATTGGGTGGACATCTTGAAGGATTTTGATCCAAGTAGGACATGGCTCCGCGCGGCGAGCACCGAAATGGTAAAGTATTCTAGTTCTACAAACGCCGGTCCTTCTTAACGTCTTGGGTTCGTTTCTCGGTATTCTTGGAACTCTTCTTGGCAACGTCTGACTTGTCGACCAAGTTTGTTACTGTTGGTGCTGCGGACGTGTGACCAGTGATACCCAGCTGGCGGGATTCAACTACTAGGTATGGTACATATATTGGTATATACCTAGGTACCTAAGTAATCACTAGAACATGGCTACATATGTATGTATGTATGTTCCACCCAAGAATCATTGGGTCTTGGTAGTGGCATCGTTGGCATGTGGATGTGGGTAAGGTGGTAGCTTCAGGTAATCGGAGATTCGTACTCGGTATAGATGCAACTAAAATCGGGTTGACGAGAGAACATTTCTATACTACCATCGCTACCTACACCATTATCGTCAGCGTTACAACTTACCATCCTGTTTACCCCCCCTCTCACAGACTTTAGCGAAGATAGGTACCTAAGTAGATTCCCATTCCATGCCTATACTCTGTATATATCTTACCATCTTACCACTTGTGGCTCGTTATCAAGTTTCCCCAGCTGCCCAGATCTTGTTCAGACGGTACGGGTTACAAATATCCTCGCATTCTACTACTTTGTAGGGATGCGCACGTCACCGTCGACCGATGGATTTGGCGAGCGGCAATTGGCGTGTTGTAACACTACTGCCGTCTGTTGCAGCAGAATGGCGCCCGGGTAAGCTGTTGTCCCCCCAGTCGCTTATAGGTACCTAGTACATTAGTAGGTATCCCATTGGATACGTCGGTCAAAGAGGAGCAGTTAGGGTTAATTTAAGTGGTGAAACATTCTTTCGGAGTTAGGCTTGGTATCCCCTTTGTATCTCACCCTCACCTTATCGTCTATTTTTTGAGCTGGTTTTTTTTTCAATATCCCTTAACAGTTATTAGCTTATTTCGAAATTGTAAGGTTCAACGTATTGAGAAACGAAAAATTTATGCCAACGTCATATATCAGTTATCGAAACGTTTAGAGAATTAAATATACCGAGTAGGTACTAGTGACGGATATTTTACATAAACGCCGGCTTCTGAGAAATTCAGATGTACTATGATAACCCCAGCTTGTATCCCTGCTAGCGCGGCTCCCTAAGAAACTCGAAAGGCTGAGAAAGTCATTAACTGTGCAAGCAACCAAGAAACGTTCTTACACGATCGACTCAAAGAATTCGTCGCAATTATATCTATTACTATAAATCATTTACGAAATATCCAAAAATATAAAGATTACAGCACTGAATGTATTCAGATGGAAAAGAGACTATATGCGTGGAATAAATGAAAGCACGTATCTAGCCAAATAGAAACGGATGCGGATTTAAAACAGAACAATCAAAATGCATCTTGTTCCTAATACAGCATGTCGGGTCCGATTGCGGATGGTGGGGTTTTCGGATGCTTCGCTCTTTCGTCCACCATGGGTAGTAGGTATGCTAAAAACTTCATCTGCTTCTCTCTATTCCTCAACCCGATCAAGGCTGTACGACTATTCATTATTGGTCGGGAAGCTTCTACACGTGTAGTGACAATGTAATCATGTAGCATGGATGGATAAGCATCCAAGCGTAAGAACACTCCGACCGGTAGCGACGTTCTGTATGAAGCATGTCTTAGATGTACGTACATCAATAGATATATATGGGTACCCAGTACTTAACGGGAAGTGGATCTTTGTATGATTGATGTGGTCATTCTTAAGTATCCTCTTCCGTAAATGGTACTACAGCGTATGGTACGCGAACTTTAACATGGATGACATGGATAGAGGATTAAATGGAATAACATGGTTGGACTGTTTAAGCATGGGTAGCTGTTTAAGGTCGACCCACTCCTGGCCGCCAAAAGTTACAATTTTTGTATCCACTTCAGGTTCCGCAAGCTTCTTGATCTTGAACCCTTAAGCCCTTGACAGCTTCAATATTTCCCATCCACCGCCGTTTTAGTTAATTTTTTCTCGGATCCCTCGGATATCCCATCGTGCTATTTTCCCACGCTATCGCTCGATGGCTCATCACCGATCAGAAACAGATGGCACGAGCTGATGAAAGGTTGGAAACGCAGACGGGTGGATCCGGCCTTTTTGTTCGGGTTTCTCGCCCACTGCTCGCTCTTACTCAAAGTGCTCAAGTTGAGCCTTGTCAATAAAGACAAAAGTATGACTTACATACGAATAGCTGTATTCTACCATATTTTACCAAAGTACAGAATACGCTAGAATCCACAATACCCACCTGCCCAACTTCGGCCTCGTCAAGTCAAGGGCAAGAAAAGTAGAAGAAAGCGTTACCCGTTTTGTCCGCCTTGGTAAAGAAAATAAAATAAAAACAAAATAAATATATTCCGAAGCCATGTACTTTCTTTCCACCACGACGTTTCTTTATGAAAAGCTTCCCCCCCCCCCCCCTCCCCTCCATCTGTGGCATTTTGCCCTCCCACCCCACGACGTAACAGTGTCTCTTCCATTGGATACCACCGGCCCGTCTACTCTTTCAATGGTTGTAATGTCATTGACCCAGCCCCGTAGCTAGCAGTTGTCTTACTCATCAGGACAAAGCTCGAGTGCCACAGTGAGACTAAGCTTTATAAGCGACTATACCAACTATACCGACGATACCCTCTTCCGCCTGATTCTTTGAAAGTCAACATTCCCACGAAGGGCCAAGTTCGCAGAAGGGGACGTGAATATTCTCTGTAATTTAGGTCGCACAACATCTCTGAATAGCATATTCCAAACATCTGCAGCGACATGAGGTCGACTGCCCAGTTAGCACTCAAGCTTCTGGCGCTCGTCGCCGTAGCCGGAGCTCTTCCTACGGTTCTCGCCCACGGCAACGATGACGAAGGCGCAATGGATGCGGGCATGGATATGAGCAAAGAGGCCCCGAAGCCTGATCCGGACTCTTACCCGCCAACCTACTTCTCACATACAGATCACGTAGCCGAAATATATGCACATATCGCTTTGATGGTCGTCAGCTGGGTCGTGATGCTACCACTAGGTAAGTGCGCCGTCTCGGAGATGTTAATATGGATTCATAGCAATCTCTAACTGGCGTATGCAGCCGTCATGTTCTCGATTGCACGGTCGCGGTATACGCTCGCGATTCAGTTTCTGTTCCTCTGTACGAATGCGATAGGCCTCTTATTAGGCATCACCTACAATGCGAATACCCCAGACTTATACCCCAACAATGCGCATCACAAGATAGGTTGGCTAGTTACGTGGGTAGTCAGCGCGCAAGTGATTGTGAGTCTTATAAGTCGCGTGGCAGGTGTAATGGGCAAGGCCGGTACCCAGGATTTTGGCAAAGAGGAGGCGCAAGCATTTATCCCAGTTTCGACGGAAGCTATGGCCGAGCACCAGCGCATTAACGATACCTTATTCCCGCACCGATATCGTCATTCGAACGACAGCGGACAAGGCACAGAACCGAATAGCGAGTCCCTGCGAAGCAACTCGGTGTCGACAGCCGTGGGTCAGGAATCTCCTATTGAACTAGGTGACCGACGAGCGCACTACGAGGATGACGAGGATGATCTTCATTTCAAACCTGCGGAGCTGCTACCCTCGAAATCTACCAATTCATTTATCGGTAGACTTACTGGCAAAATGTCAAGTAGAGCATGGAGAATTTTAATGTTTGGTTACAACTTTATCGACAGGACAATCCTCATCCTAGCTTACATCACGTTATGCACCGGAATTGTCACATTTGGTCGGTTCTTTGTAAGTAAACATCGGCGCAAAATTATGTGGGCCCGGTATAGAGACTAACTCATAAATTCAGGAGGGTCGTGGCATTTTCAGCGGTCTTGCTCATTGGATCAAGGGCGGTATCTTTTTCTGGTACGGTATCTTGACGCTCGGGAGATGGTCCGGAAGTTTCGGCGAGCTGGGTTGGGTGAGTTGGAGTCATCGCCGATAAATCCGTCGCATCCTCATACGCTGACAAATTTATAGTCGTGGAATGTTCGCCCGAAGCACACTTCAAAGAAGTGGAGACCCACCGCGGAATTCGTTGAGGGAGCTCTCATCTTCACCTATGGGTCGACTAATATTTTCCTGGAGCATCTTGGCAATGCCGGTAAGGAGTTCAGTCCTCAGGATCTCGAGCATGTTTCCATCACTGTTCTTTTCATCGGAGGTGGCCTGGTAAGTTTTTTTTTAGTTTGTTTTCGCTCTACTTACTAATAAGGAGTAAGTAATACATACTAACACAGTTGTGCAGCTTGCTATGTTGATTGAGTCGACAAAGATTCGCGAACTCTTAAATACCACGGTATATGATGCGGCTCTCATACACCCGAGCCACACACACAATGACGAGGAACGCGAGGCGTTAGAAACACCGAAGCAATATGAATTCTCCGTCAATCCTATTCCTGCTCTTGTAATTTTGCTCCTCGGTATCATGATGAGCTCGCATACACAGAAGACGATGGTCTCCAGCATGGTTCATAAGCAATGGGGCAACCTCTTCACTGGTGCCTCGTTTGCTCGAGGTTTCACGTATGTGCTTGTATACTTGAAGCCTCCGCGTTCGATTTTACCCTCTCGACCTCCGACAGAACTCCTGACTGCATTTGGACTTATCGCAGGAGGCACTATCTTCATGGCTAGCGTAAGTTACCTCGTAATTACTTCTATAGGGGTTGCTACTGATAATTATAATAGGCTAGTGATATTGTTGATGGGATGATTCATTACGACCTAGATGCCATGTTCTTCTACACGGTCACGATGGGATTTGTCGGTCTGATAATGGCTTGGGTCGTGGTTCTCTTAGCTCTAAAAGGCTGGGCCGTCCGTAAAGAATCTAGCCGACCTGCCAAAGCTTGGACCTTGGTTTCCCATGTTTAAGGAGACTGGCGAACGCAAATTCGGCAAGTGAACAAGATACATCATACATTGCGTAAGAAACGGCGTAGGTGCCCACCAGTGGCCCTGCTGAGGTATAGTTATAGTTAGATCAAATTCTTGGGTTACGGCGCATTTGGGAGATGTGGGTGGTCGATTGCGATATACCCAAGATACTCCCCCTTTTACAACTTTTTAGCATTCTGGTCTTTCATTACTATTGATGATACCCCTAGGGAAAACAAAGCATGATTTGGTGTGGATTTTACGGCTTGGGTTAGCTATTAGGAATTGGATGGCAAGAGTGTCGACTCACCAGCGAGGTGGGCGATTGCTATGACATGACTAGTCAGAGCATGATTTTCAATGACTTTGAATCAATGATGAAATTTAACTTACATTGAAGAGATATGGGTGCCATTTTACAAGATTATGTAGCATGAATCCAGTGTGCGCATTTTTGAAGACTTCCTTAGAAAAACTCGACTATAAGAGTAAATTTATTGTGCCTCATTTCCACATCATAGTATCATTAACCTCCTCCTCGTCCAATTCGCCTAGACATGTACCTTTTCGGTAGAAGGGGGGTTATCGAGGACAATACTGTTTTATGAGAGTACCTATTCTACTTCACTCGATAATCAAACCTCGCAGGGGTAATAAGCTGGATGAGGATTATGAAAGTTATATTCTTTACACACACGACCTGTTTAACAGTGGTTTTTAAAAAAAATTCAGATTAAATTATAGTCTTCTTTAACAGTCACCGATTGATTTTAAATAAAGCCGTCCCCATTAAGAAACTAGTCTCTCGATATCTTTATCGAGTACTCCGAGTGATCGATTTCCATGAGACCTCCCAAGTTCATAGGGGTTTGCGGGGCGGCGTGAATAGTTTCGATGACAAGAGCCCTTTCAGTAACACCCTGTAGACGAAGATTCAAGTATATAGAATGAAGCGTGCGTTCATGGACCTCCAACTCGCTAGTTATCGGGAGGACGTACTCGATGGAAGGCGGATACAGCATGAGATCTAGGTACCTCTCCAAATATCCCGAGCTAGTGGTTATCAATACACGCTATGATACACGCTATGATACACGCTATGGGAGGAGGGGGCACTAGGAACAGACAAGATTCTGAATAAAGAATGATATATAGAAAATCAGACTTAGTCAGTTCCAAGATTTCACAGGGCTATTGGTGATTGGGTTGATGAGTATAACATTTGGTTGGCGGATAACTTAGACCAGGCAATTTAATTTTTATGCTGCCTGTTACAGTTAGGTCATATTTTAGGCGGCAAGATGGGATGAACTCCAATAGAATAGACGGAAGGAATGATCTGAGACTCTGTGTAGGTAGGTAGAGATGCATTGTATGTATGGATGTACATAAAGCTACTACTAGGTAGTTACATCATCGGCTGATGCCCCACCAAACCTGGAAAGTAGCAGATGTACAACCTGGAAAGCAATCGCCCGATTAAACTTGATATTTTTCACTTTAATGCGATACTAAGAAAAACAGGTCTTCCGTTATTCCCTGACTATCTCCCCGTGTGATTATTTGAGCCCATACACCTGTGTATTCAGCTTCCATACATCTAGCATAATCCTTCTTCCTCCCACGATGACTTCCTACAAGAGCACCCCGCTATATGGAGGGGCTCTTATCTGCGACCTTCCAGCTAGCTTCGCCGACGTGAGGTATGTGTGCATATGGATATCTTCCCTCCCAGGTCGCAAATGCGTCGCACATAGATTGCAAATATATCATGTTAGCTGTTAGCCCAATATTGACAATGCGACTAACATTCGCAAACCGGTTACCCGCAAACCAGTGCTATAAGACAAGTCCCCGACAACGAAGAAGTATATATCGACAAGGATGGCTTCACGAGCATCATCTTCGACATAGCTGAGCGCGTCGGCGGTCCGGGTTCTAGCCCCGAGATAGACGGGAATGCCTTGACGACTCATTTAGAGGATCTGGTGGGGGATGATCTCGACCGCGTCAAGGTCTGGAACACCACACCTACCTTATTCTCACGACTAGAGTACGTGCTGTATCCCAAATTGCGCCTCGGGAATAGGAATAATAAATAGACTAACACGCGCGCGTCGTCGCAATCCAAACAGCGAGGATATTCCTGCCTACACGCTGATCGCGACCGTTTCCCCGCACAAGTCAGACTCGGCCAGCGACGAGCGATCCGGTACCAAGACCGACTTCACTGCCATCATCCTAACCCTGGTGCGACTCGAGCGCGAGAAGACCGACTTACTCATCACCATCAACGTGCCGCATATCAAGGGCGAATACGACGAGGAGGACGTCGATCTCCAGCTCGGCAAGCAGGGCAAGCTTATCGGGGATGCCGTCGACTACGCCGCTAAGATCTGGGAGACTTTCAAGGTTAAGGACTGGGGTCTATTCAACGAGGTCTGAGGGTAGATCCAAATATGAGATGATATAATATGGGTTGGGTGATATATGAGGAAATTGGGATCGGGGTTCGAATAATGGAATGGAGAGGGCGTGGAAAGAAAATTACAATCTGACAAGATCCCGCGGCGGACTTTTGAGAGCTACGTCTCCTTTGTGTTTCTGTTGAGCGCTCTCCTTTTTGAGGCCTTGTGCTAGGAATGAATTATGAATCACTTCGGTGGCCTCTGTCCTTACTTAGACGTGGGAGGAATTATGACTACGACTAGGGTCAGCATCAATTTGCAGCTGTGCATTCTCTGAAAAGTGACAATCTTATTTTGTCATCCCAGTTGATTGAGATGATGCCTTATGTACGCAGCCCGTCTGCGATTATTACCCTAATTAGAAACCGATTAGGTGTGTAGAACCGTTAATATGTTCATCCGTCAGTCCATCCGTAAGCTTGGTAGATACAATCTAATAGGCCCCTCTACGTGGTAGCCCTTCCGTAATCATAATGTCGTCTCCAGTCTACTACCTCGGAGGCATTAGGAGACGCCCTAAGTGCCAATACCTCAAGCTTCCCCTTTAATCTCTAGACTAGTCCTTTATCTCCCCATACTCCTTCTCGTCATTGTCATTGTCATTGCCATTGTCATCGTCACCGTCGTCGTCGTCATCACCGCCGTCATTAATATTCAGAATCTCTACCGCAGTTTGCAGTTCTATGATCGTCTTCTTCCTCTTCTCCTCCTTATCCTCCTTCACCTCCATCTTCTCTTGCTTCTGCTGCCGCTGAATCTCGTTCCATTTGGTCGACACGACCGCCATCTTCTCCTTGAACGACATGCGCGGGTTGCTCTGGCTCAGCGCCTTCATCTCAAGGCTGAGAAATTCGTTCCACGGACTCAACTTCTTCTTCACCGTTGCCGGGCCGCCACCTACGTCAGTGCCGCCGCCGCCGCCGCCGCGGGGTGTAGGCTTGACCTGCCTCAGAGCGCCGCGACACCGACCGCATTTCTGGCGCTCCGCATTCACGCTGCGCGAGTGCCGCTTAATCTGGCCTTGGCACCCCTCGCACTCCCAGATGTACTTGTACTCGATCTCGTAGTCGTGCTTCGTGGTAACTATGATCCCGCGATCTGCGAACGCACGTCCGCACTGCGCCCCCAGTGCCTTGAACTCGGCGCCGTGGGCAGCTTTGGGCTTGCCGTTGAGGATGAAGACGGCTAGATGGCAAAACTCGTGAGCTACCGTGTTCAGGAGGTCGGATTCGTTGGAAAGGACACGGGTTGCGAGTTCGATGAATGCTGTGTGCTGTCGCGTCTCGCGGACACTAGTAGTGACGCCCTCCGCGTTCTTGGTTGTCGTAGATTGCGTCTTGCATTTCCAGTGTGCACGTCCAGCCGTCGAGCGAAGGGTGTTGGACCACTCGATCCGCAGGCCGCCGGTATCCTCGGTCAGCTTTGCCAATTTGCCGTCCGTGATGCGATCGTCGAGCTCCCGGAGGAAGACACGCGCAAGAGATTCTTTTATAGCGTCGAAGGCCTTACGGGCGTCCTTCTTCTCTGGGCTGACGCCGTATTTACGCTTCGCCTCCATCTTGAGTTCCTGCGCCGTGGGCTTGGGTTTGGGCTTGGGCTTCTGCGGGCTCTCGGGCTTCTTCTCTGGCGAGTGCTTGTCAATCCAGCCGAAGTGCACTTCGGAGTCCCAGAACTCTTTGTGTTCGGGCTTCCAGGGCGACGCGGGGATCCTGGGGGTTTTAAGGGGAGAGGCAGGGACTGCCTTGAGTGTCTTCCTGGGCGTGGTAGGTTCCAGAATGAGTTTTTTGTCTATTTTTATCGAGGGCTCGTCTGGCTCAGAGTCCTCGTTGAAGCTAGGATGTTTGTCAGTATCTTCCAATGATTCCTTATCCATGATCGAAGTGAATAAGAGATGTCTTAAAGTTGGCTTACATCTTAAGTTTCTGGAAAGCATCTTCCAAGTTTCTTGATTGGGGCGCCTTTAATATGTTAAGTGTCCCGCGTTGTTTGGATGGGCGATTTGTTGGATCAATGATTGTTGCCTGGGGCTGTTTGTTGCTAGGAGCCGACTTCTTATCTGAGTCTTTGAATAATGTTCTTTGAGGTTTTGTCCAGACAGCGGGGCTTCTTGAACGTCTTGTGGGTGGTGTCACTAACTGTTCAGAATTTGAATCTGAGGCATCTGTTTCTGAACCTGACCCGGAGACGAACTCGGATACCTCTTCTTCGCTTGATTCCTGAACATCCTTTGATATATCTGATTCGTCATCAGACTCATCTGAAGGTATTGAACTTTTGGCTGATTTCTTGGGAATTTGCCTGATCTTCATATTCGAAGATTCAATGTCGTTGTCTCTCTGGGGCTTTTCAGTCTTTCTTGAGACCGGTTTCAAGTCTGTGCCTGATGAAATGGCACGATAACCCTGTTGTCGAGCTCTTGCTGGTATTGCTTCTGGTACATTTTTGGAAGAGGGAGAGAAATCGGGCTCGACACTTTCTTCCTTGACTCGAACGCGAGTACGGGAACCCCTAGGATTGGATGTTCGGCTCTTCTCATCTTTGCTAGCTACAGTCTTCCCCCAGGGTTTTAGGAGAGACTCGTCGTTAGTCTGGGTCTGGCCTAGTTTTCGCCGCCGAAGAGGCGTTGCTTTCGCTACAGGCGTATTTTTCACATTACGCCCTTTCCGTGATGTATGTTCATTTGAATCCCGTAAGCTAATATTCACATTGTCGCAATCCTCCTGTTCTCGTCCATCTTTTACTTTGTGTCGATACTGTCGGACAACAACGTCGACATCTGGAAATTCGTCCTCGCTGCTATCTCCTAACGCGCCTAGCATATTTCCGACTTATCCTTCTTATATGATAATCATACTGTGATTCACATTACCAGTAATCGTGCTGATAATTATTTTTTATCGCGAAATGCCGTTGATTGGTAATAACAAAATTAGAGAATTGAAGTTGAGGTTGAGGTTGAGGTTGAAGTTTGATAGGTTGTAATTACTTTTAGTGGTTGCCAGGCAACGCGGGGTTAATCTTTAATCGATTTGCATGTTCCGTCCCCAGTATTTTACATATGTTAAATGGAAGTCACCTGCGACAAGAAACCCAATTCGAGACCCAATGGTTATAAAGTGGTAACAATACTTTTAACTAATACATGTATATTATGCTAAAACTGCGAAACGTCTGGTCTGTATATGTAGATATCAGAGTCTGCATACTTACGGTCATGTAGGTAGGCACATAGTAGTGGCTTCGGGTAGTTGCGTATGTTTGGTAACACATGGAAACTCGCGAACACCCGAGAGCTATAATTGGAACCATCATCTGTTCTGATGTTCGACTTTTTGCCTGTTTGCTCTAAGAGGGGACTGTATAGAGATCAACTTATGAAATCAAACAATCTGTATGAGCATACGCTAGCAAACTTTGAGATAATAAGTACCTAGTTAAACGGGTGAGTGGGTGACTAGATAGGTATGTATGTATACTTTCTCATACTTAGGTACATATTTACTATGTAGGTATGCAGTTTTAATCTGAATAGACGGACGGGAACCTCAGAGTTGATTGATTTCATTCATCATATTTGTCATCCTTGCTTTTGGACTCACGGATCCGGGCCTGGTAGAACAACGGAATTCCGAATTCACGGTTTTAAAGACAGTATGTAAGTCAAAGAAGGGGGTATTCGTATGGGGGGGGTATTCGGCAGCCCCATTTTTGTGGTGAGACCTCAACCAATGAGAAGTCGATACATCACACGGGCCACTTTATTCGATGTACCTTTTTCTTTTAAAAACCTTTAACCAATTAAAAAGCTTAATTCAATACGCTATGCCTTATAAAGCTCAAAAAAGGTAACAGCCAATTAGCTTTGATTATTCTATGCCAATCGGGAAATCTAGATTTTTGGACCTTTATTACAATTGGCCCTTACCCTTAACCATTTTGGCTTGGCGCAAGCGTTGAGCCAATAGATTGCTATAAAACTATTCGGCCACACTTTATTTTAGCACGCCAATCTCCGCCCAATCAAGCTCGTTGATTGGTTCGCCACTCCCAAAAGTATCACGTGACATGATCGGGACTGCAAAAAACCTTTATCCGGGATGACGTACTCGCAAGTTAATTGGCCAGGTCCGAGTCAAAATGCGCTAAACCTAAGAAGGTTAGCAGTTACCGAAATAAGTATTTAATTCAAATCGAGGATATTATGCGCGCTAAGCAAAAAAGAGCAAAAGCACTAAGCCTGGCGGGGATATTGGTGGGACCTGATTGGCTATTATGAAGAGGCTATACCTAAAATAGTAATAAAAGTTTCATAAACCAATGAATAGCTGAGAATTTATCTTTCAGCTCCAATTGTACCGCGCTATACCATATATGATTAGGGTCTCACCACAAAAATGGGGCTGCCGAATACCCCCCCCATACGAATACCCCCTTCTTTGACTTATGTATTGTACATATGTACATACTATTATTATGTGCCCTAGAGAGGCGCAGCCAATCAAGGATGATGGCGTTGGTGCTGCGTGCCCCTGAAACTTGCCAGCTGAATCCTACCCTGCTACCGTTCATCGCCGGATCTCAAGATTGACCCACGTCCTAATAAGCAGCTTAGAATAGATTGGTCATTGACTATTCGAGTAGTCTAGATAAAATCTGGGTTGAGTTCAATCTTGCTAGTTCATCTATACTAGGATCTCCTGGTTTTACCTAATAGCCTTCTGGTGGTGAGTTATTCGTTCGGCCAATTTTCCAGCAGACTGAAAAACTTTTCTACTCTGTAAAACGTTAATCTATTATATACAGTAGGTACCTGATACTTACATATGTAGCACACTGCCTAGTATAATAAGTTATTAATATCTTCGGATTAGGTTGCCGATTGACGAGAATTTTTGGCAAGAGCCACGAGTTTAGCACCTGGTTAAATCTCGTATTTTAACAGTACAAAGATACCTATGTAGGTAGGTATCGTGAAGAGGTAGAGAGGACTGAGAGGATAGAAGGAAATGCTTAATGCTCACCACTAGCATTAATTAGCTCACTTAGTTGGAACCGAAGCCAGCCATCCATCCAGCCACCCGGCCATCGCAAAACTGGACGCGTGTATAGTTTCTTTCGATGCAATTTTTCATGCGACATAGCAAATTACACTACATGTACGTGTATACGCAGTATGTGTGTAGCACTATATATATGTACATACTTGGTACTGTGTGTACACGTATATGATTTGGCCATTTCGTCATCGAAAGCCACAAAAAGAGGCAATGGCCGGTACCTGCATACGACGGGGTTGGTTATTGGACTAGTAGGACTAGTCGCTAAAGTGAAGGTGCATCTCTTAGTCTCTTCATTGGGCGCCACCACAATCGATCGTCTATTACGAGGCAATAGAACCTTGAACTTTGCATGCTCCCGACTTTCTAATCTGCTAATCTACTCGGTACATACCTATCTACATACACAAACAGATAAGTCTGTTCTACATAGGTATATATTCTTGTATAGATGACCGACATTGGACCCTCATACTAATAGTAATAGGTATGTGCTTTAAAATAGGTATCAATGTCATCATCAATTACATGCGAGGGTTCGTTGAACATTGAAGTGAATCCTCAAAGTTGGTGCCGGCACGTGTCCTGCATACTACGTCGCAGTAGCATCGTCTAGCTGTTTTCGCCATACGCCATCCAAACTACATCGTATTCAAGGAGGGGACTGGTGGCAAAAGTCTTGGAAGGCTAGTTCAGCTGCTTGGTGGGTTACAGTGCTTCTTGAGAACGACCTATTGATCAGCAATACGAACATAACACGATCTTTGCCTTAAAACTATATACGAATCTCACTCTTCTTCTAGAAAGAGACTGACTCGGCTCTTTCTTACCATGTTCTTTCTTTCTTTCTACCGCGGAGATTGAGTTGAGATGAAACTTTTCTTCTCATCCCTATTAGTTATGTGCAATACCATAGCTCATGCCACAGCAGCTCATGATTGATAAGGTCCTTAAATTGCCCACGCATATGTATCATGATGTGACGGAACTAGCCTATGCTTTTTAATCATGAGCCTCGAAACCGGTTTATACTTCAAGACTTGATCGACAGCATTATCGATGATGATAAGGCCAAGTCGGTTTAGGCTAGTATTTAATTATTAAGACTTGTACCATAGTATGTATGGAAAAGGAGGCGGACTGATTTTGGGATCAATGTGTACAAAGTGCGGCATTAGCGTCGGATATAACTATACCTAGTAGTAGGTTTGACGAGAAGGTGGGAAAAAAAGACAACGGGCGGATCGGTAAAGCATATGTAAAAATACCTACCTACCAAGTACTTACCTACCTAGATAAAATAGGAGAAAGAAGATCAGGTAAACTTAAACATTCACACCTACATCACTTGCAGCCCGGAAAGAACTGAAGCTAGAATCGAGCATCAGATGACAACTGTCATTTCGACCTTAATGTAAGTGGGAATGTGCAAAGTGTTTAACTAAGATTCTGTCAAGAATTTGGCAGCTCGATAAAAGACGTACTCCAGGCTACATACAAGGTAGGTGCGCTGCAAGATTTTTGAAGTCCGCGGCGGTTTTACTTCTGCTGCGGTACATAACGAAAATCGAACATTGAAAAGAATAAGGCTACTATTACTATTATGTAGGTAGCCCTGGAGGACTCTGTATTGTACCTAGTAGGTAGATATCTTACGCGGCCTGGGTATAAATACAGTGCTATCAGCACTGTACCTACAGCTAGAGATACTAACCTAGGAGGTTGGAACAAGTCTGAGCAAGCCTACCTACCTAGTACCTAGTACCTACTCCTACAACTCCTATTAATTACTCCTAATCATCCCTGTCAGAGCTGGACCATGCCAACCAATAGGGCACGGTCTTGCTACTGGTGAATCAGAGACGGCTCGTTTGGGCAATTGCACACCCCACCAGTCATTCTTCCTCCATAAGTTTTTTTCTAATGCGTTTTCAATGCGAACCTGTAGTTTAATTGATAGTGTGATACCTTTTACCAAGCGAAATCAGGAAACTTCAAGGTCCACTTCTCGCCTCCAGCACCAACTCTGTACACAGCCACATCCTACAATCTTTCGTCTCTCTCTATGCTTGCTATGTACGTAGGTAGTAATGTCCCCGGTTTCAATCTCGATCATTCCCTTTTTGTAATGCACTGTGATACTATGCGTTAGAAAAAAAAGGGCTGAAAAAGCCGGGAGGGCTTTAGCTATTTAGGTACCCAAATAATCTAGTCGGTTTAGTCGTTGATTTCACCGGATGTGCCGGTGACGAATTGAAGACTTCGGATACCGTACCACTATGCAGGTAGTACATTTTGCCCCGCAGAAGTAGTTCTGTACACTGTAATATGCATGCATGTATACTTCGTACACTCTTAATATTGAATGCTCGATGTGCTGATAACAGATTAAATGTATTTATGTACCTAGTATGTACACGTACGGAGTACTTATGTATAATAGGTAAACTGCTAGGTTTAAGTAGGTACCTCAGTACCAAGTTGCCAACTGTAGCATACCCTTGCTTAAGGGGTGAGAGTGTCACTTTACCACGGGTATCGCTGGTTGGGACTGGGCTAAGCTTTGCCCCGATTCCCCCTGGCCTTATTTCTCCTTTCTGGCATTTTTCTTGATTCTCGATCCCAAGTTCCATCACTCCCAATCCCTTTCCCCCTTCCTGCCCTTGACAAAACTTGTTTTACACTCGCTTTCACCCATTGAACTTTTAATTCTCCTTTCTTCTCTTGCTTCCCCTTTCTCCCTCGTTTCTTTCTTGTGCCAATTCGCCGCTTCGTCTCTGGTGCTCAGGGGAAACGAGTGAAGATTTGCAGGAAAAGAATTCGGAAAAGAGAATCGAAGAGAGTTTTATGAGAGTTGAATCCTTTCGTTACTTCCACGTACAATTCGGTCAACCCCTTTTGTGTTTCGCTCCCGCTTTCCCGTTGAATCGTCAACGCACGCTCGTTTTAACGGTCCGCGAAAACCTAAAAGTTAAAGGACGCCAACAAAGTACCCGTCCAACGAATTTGAAGAAATATTCCACCGTCAATCGTTCGAGAATAAAAAAAAACCATCGACTGAATTATTACGAGGTGTAGAGGCACCGAGGTATCGGAACTCACCGTCACTGGCCACGTAAGAAATAGGAAAAAAGGGAGAGAATTTGGTTGTGGAATTTGTCAGATTATCCAATCAAACGCGTTTTTTGACCCAACCTCGAGTTACACACCAACCTGTCAGGGGCTCGGCACGCTAAGTACGGCACTAAATCGATACTACAATTAGCGCCTACCCTCCTACCGGTCGCGTTGTTAGGAGTACTTTTGGAAGTCAACATTCACTTTTTTACAACTTTGCACTTCCCACCCGCAACTTCTGACACCTGCGCCATCCCGCGTAGCGCTAGGAGCCAACGTAGAAACGACAATACACAGCCCGGCCAATCCTTTCCAAGTCAACAAACAACAGTCGACTTCTCACTACTCACTACTCACTACCCACTACTCTTTACTCTCAACCCTGTCACAAAGACCAACTCTTGCTTGTGGCCGGCCACACTGATTCTCCATATTACAAGTTAATAATATTAATCACGACAAACCCACTCTTGACAGTAGAGTCACTCCTGATTAAGCTCGCTAACCGCCACGAATAAAAATCTAATGGGTTTCTGAATTGTAAGTAATACCTCGCATCTTCAATTTTTAATCTGTTAGGCACTTCCCTACGCCTTGTGCGCGATGCAAACATATTTAAATTTGTACTTCTGGTGCTAATTGAATTGCTTGTCGCAGATCGCGTCTTTTACCTAGTCCCGAATTCCCAAGATGTCGGGCTATCCAGGAGGTGGTCATCACGACTACAACGACGCCTACGGGCAGAATCACGATTCTTATTATCAAGATGAACAACATGGTCAATACTACGACAATAATGGCTACGATGCACATGGCCAAGGCCAAAACCAAGGTCAAGGCCAAGGACAAGGTCAAGCCCAGGGCCAGGGCCACCACGCAAACGATGGCTACTACGACGAATCGTGAGTTTGCGCAGTACATATTGGACAGGTTTTGAGCTGATTACTAACTTAACGTAAAGTGGCTACTATAATGCAGATGCCAACAACCCTTACGCCGCAGAGGGCGGCTACTATGATAACCATGATCAGTACCAGCAAGGAGGAGACTACTACGATGATGGGAATGGCTACTATGACCACTACGGCCAAGGCGGCGGCTACAATGGCAACGGCGGACGTCGGGGCGATTCCGAAGAGGATTCCGAGACGTTTAGCGACTTCACCATGAGATCCGACATGGCTCGTGCTACTGATATGGACTACTACGGTCGCGGCGATGAGAGATACAGTGGTTATGATCAACAGGGTCGAGGATACAGGCCACCGTCCTCACAGGTCTCATACGGCGGAAACCGATCGTCTGGCGCGTCCACTCCTAATTATGGAATGGACTACGGAAATGTACCAGGCATTCAAAGATCCCGCGAACCATATCCAGCGTGGACTTCCGACGCGCAGATTCCGTTGTCTAAGGAAGAAGTCGAAGACATTTTCCTGGACCTTACCAACAAATTTGGATTTCAGAGAGATAGCATGCGAAACATGTATGACCATCTGATGGTGCTGCTTGATTCGCGAGCTTCTCGAATGACACCGAATCAAGCTCTGCTTTCTCTTCATGCCGATTACATCGGTGGTGATAACGCTAACTATCGAAAGTGGTACTTCGCGGCTCATCTCGATTTGGACGATGCTGTTGGCTTTGCGAACATGGGCAAGAAAGCTCGCAAATCGAAAAAGAAGTCCAAAGGCAAGAAGGGTGATCAGAGTGAGGATCAGGTTCTCGAAGACTTAGAAGGCGACGACAGCTTAGAAGCAGCTGAGTACCGATGGAAGACACGAATGAACCGCATGTCACAGCACGATAGGGTTCGACAAATTGCTCTGTTTCTTCTCTGCTGGGGTGAAGCAAACCAGGTCCGTTTCATGGCCGAATGTCTTTGCTTCATCTTTAAATGTGCCGACGACTACTTGAACTCCCCCGCTTGCCAAAACCTCGTCGAGCCCGTCGAAGAAGGCACTTTCTTGAACAACGTGATTACACCCCTATATCAATACTGTAGGGATCAAGGATACGAGATCTATAACGGGGTCTACGTCCGCCGAGAACGTGATCACAACCAGATCATCGGTTATGATGACTGCAACCAGCTCTTCTGGTATCCCGAAGGCATTGAGCGCATCGTTCTCAACGACAAGAGCAAATTGGTTGATGTTCCCCCAGCGGAGCGTTACCTCAAGCTGAAAGAGGTGAACTGGAAGAAGTGTTTCTTCAAGACCTACAAGGAGACACGGTCCTGGTTCCACGTGATTGTTAACTTCAATCGTATTTGGGTTATACACTTGACCATGTTCTGGTTCTACACCGCACACAACGTTCCGACGCTACTGGTTGGTAAGGATTACGAGCAGCAGGTGAACCAACAGCCGCCAGCATCTGCACAATGGGCCATCGTGAGTGCCGGTGGTGCCATCGCCTCCTTGATCCAAATCATAGCTACCTGTGCCGAGTGGGCATACGTCCCACGGCGATGGGCCGGTGCTCAACATCTTAGCAAGCGACTGCTCTTCTTGATCGTTGTCTTCATAATCAACCTTGCTCCTAGTGTTTACGTCTTCGGCTTTGCAAAGGACCAGAATGCAACCCCTGCGTTAGCGTTGGGTATCGCTGGGTTCTTCATTGCGCTGATTACGTTCATTTTCTTCGCGGTTATGCCACTTGGTGCTCTCTTTGGTAGCTATCTAACGAAGAACTCTCGCCGTTACGTCGCTAGCCAGACATTTACTGCTAGTTGGCCGCATCTGAAGGGCAATGATAGAGCTCTCTCGTATTTTCTCTGGACAGCGGTTTTCGGCGCCAAATTTGGAGAATCGTACATTTACCTCACACTGTCGCTCCGAGATCCGGTCCGTTACCTCCAAATCATGAACGTGTCTTCTTGTCTCGGAGATGCTCAGATCGGCGCCATATTGTGCTCGTACCAGCCAACTATTGTCATGGTTCTTATGACCCTTACCGACTTGATCCTCTTCTTCCTCGACACGTACATGTGGTACGTCCTGCTTAACACTGTCTTCTCTATCGCTAGATCATTTTACCTTGGTTCGTCTATCTGGACTCCCTGGCGTAACATTTTCTCGCGACTTCCTAAGCGAATCTACTCTAAGATTCTCGCCACGACGGACATGGAAATCAAGTACAAGCCCAAGGTCTTAATCTCGCAGATTTGGAACGCCATCGTTATATCTATGTACCGAGAGCATTTACTAGCCATCGACCATGTTCAGAAACTGCTGTACCACCAGGTCCCATCCGAGCAGGAGGGCAAGCGTACTTTGCGTGCGCCGACATTCTTCGTCTCTCAGGAGGACCATTCGTTCAAGACGGAATTTTTCCCGAACCACAGCGAAGCTGAGCGGCGTATTTCTTTCTTCGCGCAGTCCTTGTCTACGCCCATTCCCGAGCCTCTTCCTGTTGACAACATGCCCACCTTCACTGTTTTGATCCCTCATTATGGCGAGAAGATTCTACTCACTCTCCGAGAGATTATTCGCGAGGACGAGCCTTACTCTCGTGTCACACAGCTTGAATACCTTAAGCAGTTGCACCCTCACGAATGGGACTGCTTTGTCAAGGACACTAAAATTCTTGCCGATGAGACCTCTCAATTCAACGGAGACGAAGAAAAGACTGAAAAGGATACGGCGAAGAGCAAAATCGACGACCTTCCATTCTACTGTATCGGTTTCAAGTCCTCTGCTCCTGAATACACTCTTCGAACTCGTATTTGGGCATCTCTTCGCTCGCAAACTCTCTACCGTACTATCTCCGGTTTCATGAACTACAGCCGCGCTATCAAATTACTTTACCGTGTCGAGAATCCTGAAGTCGTCCAAATGTTTGGTGGCAGCTCCGAGAAGCTGGAGCGCGAACTCGAGAGAATGGCTCGACGCAAGTTTAAGCTAGTCGTTTCCATGCAGCGATATGCCAAATTCAAGAAAGAAGAGATGGAAAATGCCGAATTCCTCCTTAGAGCCTACCCCGACTTACAGATCGCCTACCTAGACGAAGAGCCGCCTCTAGTTGAGGGTGAAGAACCTCGTATCTACTCTGCTTTGGTTGACGGTCACTCTGAACTAATGGAGAACGGGATGCGACGTCCCAAGTTCCGCATTCAACTTTCTGGTAACCCCGTTCTTGGTGATGGAAAGTCAGACAACCAGAACCATTCCATCATTTTCTACCGTGGTGAATACATACAGCTTATCGATGCCAACCAAGACAACTACCTGGAAGAATGCTTAAAGATTCGGTCTGTCCTTGCCGAATTCGAGGAAATGAAGATTGAAAATGTGTCTCCCTACACGCCTGGTGTGAAGAACGAGATCCAGGCTCCGGTCGCTATTTTGGGTGCTCGCGAGTACATTTTCTCTGAAAACATCGGTATTCTTGGTGATGTCGCTGCTGGTAAGGAACAAACGTTCGGTACGCTCTTCGCAAGAACTCTATCCCAGATTGGTGGTAAGCTTCATTATGGTCACCCGGATTTCCTCAACGGTATATTCATGAACACCCGTGGTGGTGTTTCCAAAGCTCAGAAGGGTCTACATCTAAACGAGGATATTTATGCTGGTATGAATGCTCTCCTTCGCGGCGGACGTATCAAGCACTGCGAATACTACCAGTGTGGTAAGGGTCGTGATCTTGGTTTTGGATCTATTCTGAACTTCACCACCAAGATCGGTACTGGTATGGGTGAACAGATGTTATCTCGCGAGTACTACTACCTTGGCACACAGCTACCACTGGACCGTTTCCTATCATTCTACTATGCCCACGCTGGTTTCCACTTGAACAACATCTTCATTATGTTGTCTGTCGAGATGTTCATGATAGTCCTTATCAACATCGGCTCACTTCGAAACCAGACCGTTGCCTGCAACTACAACCGTAACGTCCCTATTACGGACCCGTTGTATCCTACAGGATGTGCGAACACGGATGCACTCATGGACTGGATATACCGCTGTGTTATTTCTATCTTCGTTGTTTTCTTCTTGGCTTTCGTACCCCTGATTGTCCAGGAACTTACCGAGCGTGGTGTGCTACGTGCTGCCACCCGTCTAGCGAAGCAGTTCTGCTCCTTCTCGCCATTCTTCGAGGTGTTCGTCTGTCAAATCTACGCCAACTCTGTGACACAGGATTTGTCTTTCGGCGGTGCCCGTTACATTGGTACCGGTCGTGGTTTTGCTACGGCTCGTATCCCCTTCGGTGTATTGTACTCTCGGTTCGCCGGTCCTTCCATCTACTTCGGCGCTCGTCTGTTGATGATGTTACTATTCGCGACCTTAACGGTGTGGCAAGCTGCCCTGGTCTACTTCTGGGTTTCGCTTCTCGCTTTGGTCATCTCACCATTCCTTTACAATCCTCACCAGTTCGCGTGGAACGATTTCTTCATTGATTACCGCGATTACCTCCGCTGGCTCTCGCGTGGTAACTCGCTCAGTCACTCATCGTCATGGATCTCTTTCTGTCGCCTGTCGCGTACGAGAATTACCGGCTACAAGCGCAAGGTTCTAGGAGACCCGTCCGGCAAATTGTCTTCTGACGTGCCTCGCGCGGCCATCACCAACCTGCTTTTTGGAGAGATCATTGCACCACTTCTTTTCGTGGCAACAACACTTATCCCCTACCTGTTCATCAACGCACAAACCGGCGTCAAGGCTAACGATTCCAGTGCCAAGCCCACCGCATCTCTTATCCGTGTGGCCGTCGTCGCTTTCGCGCCTGTTGGTATCAACGCCGGTCTACTAGGTGCTCTCTTTGGTATGGCCTGCTGTATGGGTCCGCTACTTAGTATGTGCTGCAAGAAGTTTGGAAGTGTCCTGGCAGCAATTGCCCACGCCGTCGCCGTCATTGTTCTCCTGGTCTTTTTCGAGGTCATGTTCTTCCTTGAGGGCTTCGATTTCACGAAGACGCTTTTGGGCATGATCACAGCCATTGCGATGCAGAGGTTTATCCTCAAGCTTATCGTATCGCTAGCGCTCACTCGTGAGTTCAAGACGGACCAGTCTAACATTGCGTTCTGGACGGGCAAGTGGTACTCCATGGGTTGGCACTCGATCTCTCAGCCGGCGCGTGAATATCTTTGCAAGATCACGGAACTGAGCATGTTTGCCGCCGATTTTATTCTAGGCCACATCCTCTTGTTCATTATGTTGCCAGTTATCCTCATCCCCCAGGTTGACACCCTACATTCAATGATGCTGTTCTGGCTCCGACCAAGGTACGTTAAGCTATTCACTCACCCCGTAGTTCTGGTCCTAGTAGTTACTAACATGTTAACTTAGCCGACAAATCCGACCGCCTATCTACTCGATGAAGCAGTCGAAGCTCAGGAGAAGACGTGTTATTCGCTACGCTGTCCTTTACTTCGTCATGCTTGTCCTTTTCGTAGCCCTGATCGTCGCGCCTGCCGTTGGAGGCAAGCAAATCGGACCGTCGCTGGAGAAGAATCTTGCGAAGCTCCCGATTCCTCTAGCACAGCCTGGGCCGGATCAGAAGCATGACGACACCAGGAACCGCACGGAGACGGGGACCGGCTCGCCTGGGTACTCTGGTCCGGGTACGGCGTCGATGACATCGGCCGCGGCAGCAACGTCGACGTCCAAGTCGGGCTCGAAGTTCCGATTCGTTTAATGAACATTGAAGACATACCTGTACCATAAAGAATAAAAGTTCCTGGTTACTCGACCAGCTTACGGAATTGGGCCGAGTACTAATTAGCGTTATATTCGCGAGACTGTACTTGAGGTGTTGCGTGTATTGATTGATTACAAGAGGGCGGCATGGCACATGGTATTTTTCATTCGTCGTAGAGTCTCGGGCATAAATATTTGCAGGTTATTTTCTTTTTCTTCTATCTCTGAATGGAAACGAGATGGTGTTCAATAATGACAAGGGTTTCTATTGCATTTACTGCGACTTGGGTCATGTGCATAGAGTGCTTATGGACCAGAGTAATAATGTCCGTAGAGATTCTAGCATAAGCTAATGTGAAAAAAAAACTCTTCATCAGATTTTATTCGTACATATACACATACATATCTACATACCTACGCGGTATGCATAATTGATCGGTTGCGAGTGCTTACTTAGGTAAGTACCTTTGGTTGGTAGATATCTAGGCAGGTAGACTCGTACAAAGTAGGTATGTACATTAACGTGTGGGGGGGGTATCTGGTCATAGTCACAGGGATAGTCACTAGGGGTGGACATAATGTCAACTGGTAATTGTTAACTTACCGTCACCCTTTTGATTGGCTGTTAATTGGATAGTATTACTTCCGAAGGCAATCGTAACTTCTTAGCAAGGGTTATATCGAAGGAAATAATTACTTTAAAAATAACTTTACTTTTTATTATAACGATTATTAATTTAATAAATGTTAAGTTAGTAATTATTATTAAATTAATAATTATTATTAAATTTATATTTTTTTTTAAAAAAAAAAGGAAAAAAAAAAAGTTATTACGATTAATTAAATATTTATTATTTTAAGGTTTTTAAATGTATTTTTATTATTTTAAAAAATTAAGTTTTTTTTATATAATTATAATTATTTAAATTATTATTAATTTACGAAATTTATTATTATATTACGAAATTACGATTATAATTATATAATTATTAATTTCGATTTTTTCGAATTTTAATATATAATTTATTTAAAAAAATTAATTACGTATTTTAAATTCGTTAATTTAATATAATATTAAATTTTAATATTATTATTAATATTAAAAATAAATTTAATTTTAAATTATTATAATAATTATATTTATTTTATAACGCTTTTAATTATATAATAATTATATCGATATATAATAATAT